CTGTGTCCAGTTCTGGGCTCCCCAGTACAAGAGAGACATGGCGCTACTGGAGAGAGTCCAGCGGAGGGCTACAAAGATGATGAGGGGACTGGAGCACCTCTCCTATGAAGAAAGGCTGAGAGAGCTGGGCCTGTTCAGCCTGGAGAAGAGAAGATTGAGAGGGGATCTCATCAATGTGTACAAGTATCTGAAGGGGGAGTGTCAAGAGAGCCCTGGAACAGATTGCCCAGAGAGTTAGTGGAGTCTCCTTCCCTGGAGATATTCAAAACCCGTCTGGATGTGATCCTGGGCAATATGCTCTAGAGGACCCTGCTTGAGCAGGGAGGTTGGACTAGATGAGCTCCAGAGGTCCCTTCCAACCTAAACGATTCTGTGATTCTGTGATTCTGTGATTCCTTACTTGTGGCATAATCCTTTCTGACATTGAATATTGTCTGGTCACAAATTACCAATCTAGAGTTCATAATTCTGTATTTTAGGCATTTGTTGATTTACTGTAATGTTTTAATTATGTTTTACTCTTGCAAAAAATCAATACAGAAATGTGCAAATTTTAATGATTAGATCTGAAAAATCAATTAAGTGGTAGCAGCATTGTGGATATTTTCTTCCTTGCAGGGCAGTTGGCTGATAGATTGGATTGCTATGAAGGCCATTCTCAAATATTGATTTTGATCTGTGGCAGAAATCCAAACTAAACTTACATGTGTTTCTAGTAGTGCAGTAGTGCAGCAATTACTAATATAAGTGAAATATGTTACCCAAACTTGTTATACACTCCAAAGTTGAACTGAAGCCTACAGAAGACGATGGGGGTCAAGCCTCTATTAATTTCCTTCCCCACTCAGTTTCCCTTTCTTCATCAGTCCAGGCTCTAGGTATATTAGAAGTGTGTGGGTTTTTTTTAATATATAAAAGGGGATTTTATATTAGAGTTCTTATTCACCTAAGTGAAGGTGGTAGGGGAAATATGGCAAATAGTTTCTGAAGAGGAAATCCTGCAGAGAATCAGCCTTAGAAATAGTGGAGTTAGATGGAGAAGCATTTGCCAAGGTTCCTGTAATAGCCCAAAATATCTGAGCCTCAGATAAAGGTGCAAGGAGGAAATATACAGAGGAAGGAAAACATGTAAGCAGGGGAAATAAGCTGTTTGGAAGGTTATTATTTTTAAATGGCCTCAATATTCTGCTTCAAAGAACAATTCAATGTTACAATTAAGAGAAAAGAATGGAAACAGACAAAAAGTGAGAAATTAGTGTCAGAATAGTTTCTCCCTGCTCTTATTTCTCTGTCTCGTATAATTCTATGAAAATACCTACTTTCTGGTTTATTTAAATATGAATGCCTGCCCTGAAAAGCACTTAACAATTACTTTGCTCTTAGGCAGAGAATTTAAAAGAGGTTAATAATTTATGTGGTTTTAGTGAAAGCTGTGATTCTTTAGATCCCATATAAATAAAAAGCATTGCTATCACCTGTCATAATACCCTATATTGTTGTAGGTCAAGATAAAAGTTCCTTAGAGTGATTGGCTGACTCACTGCAAGAATTCAAAGGCTGTTTATCTCGATTAGTTAAAGACCTGTAATTACAGCAGTTTGACCTCGAGGAACGTAATTACTCCACAAAAGCTCTCTACAGGAAACAAGACATTAGCCTTGGCTAATTAGCCTAACATTCACAAGCTGCCAATATCAGAATGAAGATGGTATGTAAGCATGCAAACAGCATCTACAAATGCTGCAGGAGCTACCCAGAGAAAAGCAACTGCCAGTCAATGATGGCTAAGAGTGAAATGATTTTCTTGACGGCTTTTATAACTTGCTTTAAGAAAAATCCCTTTCCCAGAGACAGCTTCCCATGGAGAAGGATGGAAGAAGTGGATGGCAGCCTGGGAGACTGACTCAATTTATTATGGGAAAAAGTGGATGAGGCTGGTTCTGTAAACTTTTCTGTTATTCCTTGTCCTTCTGGCAGTGATTAGTCTGCTCATGCTTATTGGCACATTCTTCAATCCTTCCTCATTTCAGTGCATATAGGGTTTATATTTAGGATGCAGTAGGCTCCCTACATATGGTCCAAATACATCCCAGCAACAGCCAAAGAAAAAAATAGCATTGTGCTAAAAGTTGCATCCTTTGCACACAGAATAAAACTGGGTTTTGGTTTGGATTTACAGTTCTGACATCCATAGACATATAAATAATGATTCAATTAGTCCTGTAGAGATCTTTTAATGTATACTCAGCATGTAGCTCAAAATAAGCTCTGAGCAAGCAGTTTAGGTTTTTCTTTTAAGAAAAGAGAATTTAGTGTTTATTCA